ATCCAAAGATACCCGGAAGTAAACAATTGAGGGATTTCTGGCTTAGTGGATAAAGTAAGCAATAATAGACCTAAGGTGTTTCTATCGGTGACAGACTCCTTGCAACTCCGAACAACTGACTTATATTTTTGTAACTCGACTTTATCATCTATAAAATGGGGTTAATTTCATCTCATTCCTACTTGCCTCAGAGGCTTAACTAGATAAGCTTCCTTAAAAAAAGGTCTGGTCCTATAATAAATTAGTGAGGTTAAAGGTCTAATGTTGCCTATTAAAAGGGTATTTTACTGTGTATTGCAAGGTAACTTCAAAATAAAATATACTCAGTTAAATGAGTAAGGACAGTGACTAAATTTTCCTAAACTACAGATTGACTTCTCTGAGGCCTATTTAAATAAACGATAAAGATGGTACGGCAGCTATTTATTTGCACCTGATAATTTTTAATTGATCCATCTTCCACGTACGCAATGTTACAGGATGGAGATGTGACAGCATACAAAGTGAGGAAAAAAGTTACCGTGCACCAAAAATCTTGTCAAACTTGCTAAGATTTCAAGAAAACTCTTAAAGAACATTTTATAGTTCTGCATTTCGCCCTTGCGTAGCAATTTATGAAAATTAACTCGTCTCTTACACTTTCTCCCTCTCAGACCAAGGACGCATAAATAATATTTATCAGGGTTTTGTCCTTAGTCACAGTCCCTCAAAGAGGCCCAGTTTCACCTACACTGCGTGGGAGGCTGGGCAGCAGCCCCACGCTTCCTGTCAAGGATTCCTGGGGCTAAAGCCTGAACGTGGTCTCGCCTCTTTCTTCTTTATGCTAATTCTGCCCTTCAAGCCCTCTCCGCGGGCGTCTGAAGGCCAAGGTGAGACCCTCCCGGGAGATGAAAGGCCTATTGCCTCCTGAGACTTGCGGGCGGAACGAGGGCGGGAGGAGAAGGTGACAGGGTGGTAGCTGAACCGGTAACGACGCTTAGGGCCCTAAGTTGGAGTTGATGCAGGCCCTACGGGGTTCTAGCCCCGCCTGAGCCTGGCTCCAGCCTTCAAAGCCCAACGAGGGGTAAATCCTCCTAGGGGCGCCACGGGCGGTGAGTGGAGGAAGTGCGGGCAAAGAGGCCACAGGCAGCCCCCTCCTCAGACGCGCCTCAAGGCCTGGGCCGTGGGCTGTTGACGCGCCAACGGCGGAGAAGGCGCGCGCACGCGCAAGAGGGGGGCGGAGGGAGCGCGCTCCGTGCCCGCCGCCGCGGCAACTGAAACGGAGGGACGCGAGGGCGGAGGGCGCGAGCCACGGGGGGAGGATGGGGGAGAGATGGTGGGTAACGCGGAGCGCGCGCTGACGTCGCTCGGAGTCACGCACGGAGCGCCGGGTTACGCGCCGACGTCTGGCTGCCACGACTTGCCGTCTGCGGCGGCGGCGAGCGGATCCCGCAGGGGAAGGAGGAGGAGGAGGGAGAGCCAAGGGGGCTGTGAGTGAGCGGGAGAAGCAGGGTGTGAGCTGGACTTGCCCGCGGGAGGGAGAACGAGGGAGAGCCGAGCCAGCCATCCGAGCCGCCTCCTCCTCCTCCCCTCGGCGTCCCGCCCCCGCCTGCCAGCCCGCCCTCCTTCCTCCTCAGCCGGCAGAGCCCGAGTGAGGCGCCGCTCGGCTCGCGCCGCTGTCCAGGACAGGTGTGCGCGCGCGCGCCCTCCTCCCCCTTCTCCCCTCCCCCTTTCCTCGCGCCAGCCTAGCGCCTGCCTAGCGCGCGCCCTCCCTCCCTCCAGCCCGCGCCCTCCCTCACCTGCGGCAGGACAGCGCCCGCCCGCCCGGGTAAGCCCCTCGCGACCTTCCCTGCTGCCACTGCCACAACTGGAGGTGCCGCCTACCCCGTCCCCTCTAATTGCCTTCTTATGCCCCAGGAATAATTACCATTGTAGACATCCTAGCACCCTCCCTCCGGGGACTCTGGCAGTGCAGCAACATCCCCCCCACCCCCGTAGCGCACGAAAGAACGAACGAACTCCCACCTCCAAAAAAGAAAATATCACACGCCCCTTAAGAAAAAAAAAAAAAAAGACAATCCTACCTCCGCAGACGCTTGTAGACCACCAATGGTGCCGTTTGCTTAGCAATTCCTAAGCCCCATTTCCCCAGGCCACCTTCGCCCCGGGCCTGGGACAGTGCGCCAAATGTGGCCGACAATCCCTGCACAGCAACCCTGGCAGGAGGGGAGAGGAAGGAGGGTTCTAGGCTTCACTACCAACCCCTCCTATTCTCTGTTCAACCCCCACCCCCGCAATGCATACACCCGCCCAGGATGCGTTGTAAAAATAAAAAATAATACATTGGTGCTGACATCGCAGATGAAGGCAGGCCCAAGGATGGGTGGCCCGAACAAGGCATTTTTGCTGCCCCACGGAGCTAGGTCAGCTCAACAGTCTTCTCTGCCTTTGTTCGGGGGCAAAAGGAACGGATGCGAAGCTGGAGGGTCTTCCCTCTGAGTGACAGTGGGTTTCGGAGGCGGCTGAGATGTCTGTAGAAGGGACCCCCACAAATATATCTGCCTTGATTCTGAACTTGGGTAGAGAAAGGCCCAAGTCCGGATAGGGCAACTTTTTTTGGCTCGTTGCTGTCTACCCCTGATTTAATGCCACTTCATTTCCGCTGTCTGTGAGGGACCCTCTTAGGGGTTCTAATTCGTTCTGTCGGGCCAGGTGCTTTTGGAGAGCTTTTTGGCAGCGGTGCCAATGCTTGTGTCCCGTGTCCTTGGAAGGGAGGTCCCAGTGCTTTACAATAGACGGAATTTGGTTTGACATCTTTTAGTAGACTATCAGAGGAGAAAAGGATTTTTTTTTTTTTTATTATTACTTCAAGACCCCCACTGCTTCCAGCCCAAACTGACGTTTGCGAATTGCGGCTTTGAAAATTGGAGTGTTGACTAGAGTGTGGAGAGTTGCTGATTTCATTCCTTTGGGTACTAGTAAAACCTTTTAAGTATCAGCCGGGAGAGAGTGAGCTATTGACATTTGCATCGGTTCTGTTTGGGCCTTTTGGGTACATAAAATGTCGGGTTCTCGGAATCTTTGATCGAATTTAGAATGTGTGCTACGTTTATTTAACTCTTTTGCAAATGCTTAAAATGAAAACATTTTGTGAAGTGCGAGGATTCTATCACATGGATTGTTCTCTTCAGGTTTTGAATGTTTAATTCATATCTTTAAACATTAAAATAGCATTGGAGAGGCATAATTTCAAAGATTAGGTGAGCTATAGAAGGACGATATGCTTTTTAAAAAAAATGATTGATGAAATACTATTACTATTTGTCTTTGTTGTTGTTAAACGTTAACATTTACTTTACCCTTCATTATCCTGGTAGTTGGCCCTGAGAAGAAATGGGTAATTCCTCCACTTTGAACACTTGCAGTACATTATTCCAGTTAGTTTTAATGATTTGGGTATTGAAGATAATTGTCTAGTTTAAGACAGGCATTTAACCTAAGTAGCACTTGAAAACACAATTTCTAATGTTCTTGCTTCTCTTTTATTTTGGAAATCTGTGCTATTAATCAGCATATTGTTTCTGTTGGGAATTCCATAATCAAAAGGGTTTATTACCCAGAGGTAGATCCCCTCCCTCCAAGTTTATTTTATAAATGTGTGTGTTAATTTTCACTTTTAAAGACTAAAGCTGAATTAGATTATTTCAGAATCACCCGTAGTTCAGGCTGAGGAAGACTGAGGCTTTTTTCCTTCTTTTTCTGCCTAATGTTTGTTTCACTTGTGAACAGTTTTTGTTGGTGAGAGTTTGTTAACGACATAGAGATAGTGGGATTAAAAATAAAGCAATCTCTGTTCTCTTCAAAATGTGTGTGTAGTATTAATAAAAGAGCACAAGAAATCTAAAGATATTTATCAGATTTTTTAAAGTAAGCAAACTTCGAGTAGAAAGGGAATATTTTTTGACGATTTTTAATTAACACCTATATTTTGCGGCATATTAATATATTTCGTTTCCCCTTTGCCTTTCCTACATTGAATTGAAATCATCAGTTTAATTTTACAACTGTTTGTTTCAAAATAACAAATTCAAAAAGCTAGACACTAGAACTGACTTTTCATTTACTAAGTATATTATTTAGGTAATTAGCAAATGGCTAGAAGTCTTTTCACATCTACAGATTTTCTAATGGAGTTTCAATGTTAGGATGCAAATCTAACTTTGAAATTCTTTTTAAGGTTCTAAACTTTTTAAGACTTTCCTCTGAGTCAATATTCATTCTTCCCAGACTGCCTTTTAAGGCTACTGTGTTCTGTAGCCTAAGGAAAGCCGCCTTTCACCACCATGCTCTCCCTAGTCTGACCAAAGCCCCACAGTTACAGGCTTATCCTGAAATTAACTTTTTGAGTAGTGAAAATGTACTAAATATCCAGTTTATCACTGAATCATTTTGGAAAAGCCATTGCTAACCTTGTTTATCTTTTAGATACCTTTGTAAAATAGGGGAGAAACTGGTATATAATGACAGAAATTTTATACATATATAACAAATAGTGTAACATAGTAAGTGCATATTTATGTGGAGAGATGCAGGTCTCAGTCATTTGCTGATTTGGGCTTAAAATTCCCAGTGTAAGCATGCAAATGATATTTAACTTGTGTTTTGTCTAGAAACTTCATCAGTTGCCTCTGCGCTGGGAAACTAAGAACTCAGTTTCTGGTGACAGACACCTTTTCAGAAAATCAGGGAGTTCCCAAACTCAAACCGCTTCAGAACCCCTGGATGTAGATGTTTGGAACAGAGGGCAAGAAATTTAGACTCTAAAGTTGGTCCAAGAAGATGGGCAGTTTTAAACCCTAGTTTTCTGTCCTGGAGGAAGCAGTCATTAGTGTTAAAGAATGGCAGGGACCGGCAAGGCGCGCGCTCCTTCTTTGCAATCCTATTGGGCTTCTTGCTGCTGTGAGCTCTCTTGAAGGGGCAAGGGCTTGGTTCTGCACAAGGTAAACCCCAGAAGAAGAGCAGCGGCTCTTCTAGATCAGACTTAAACAGATCTTAGCCTCATTTTACAGCTGGGAATGTAATACCCCGCCCTGCCGTATGTGGAGACCCTGCCACTCAGCCTTTCCGTCCCAGTTTGGGGCCAGGGTCTATCCAGGGTCCTGATCGCTACTGTGTGAGCCTGGAGGAGCCACTGCTTTTTCTCACTTGAAATTTTGCGCGGTCTGAAGTTCGCCAACAGTTCTTCTCTCCCCTTCCCTGCAGACTTGGGGACAAGGGAGGGAGTTCAGAAAAATCAGCACTAAAAGGGTACCACGTGATACTGGAAGATGCCCCCCCCCCCCCAGCTAAGGAGAAGTTTTTTATGGGGCCCAAAGTCTGGATTTCTGTCTCTCAGAATGGGCCTCCCCTTCAGGGAACCATTTCAGGGACCACTGGACAGGTGGGTGGTTCTGGGGCTGGTTCCCGCAGGACTACTCGAGTTTGCTTTTTGGTAGCCATCGTGCTTTGCCCTGTTTCTTGCTCTTTAGCGGGAAGTAGCTAACATCAACCCAGAACCAAAGGAATTAATACTGGGTAGAACGGGGTCCTTGCTAAGAGAAAAGGGAAGATGTGAATACTTAGCAGGCAGGTTTGCCTAGGTGATGAAAGGATATATTCGGGGGCTTTGAGGGCTCAGGCATTGACAAGGCTTATGTACTAGACTGGTCTGGGTTTCTTGATCATTACTTGATCTACCCCTTTCTTTTCTAGGAAGCTTGCGCAACTATGTACTCAGCTGTCTCTGGGGCTGAATGAGGGACGCAAGACTCCCTACTTTGGGGATTGAGGGATATTCAGTGGGAATGGAGCCCACAGATGGGACAGACACTCTTCTAAGGATGGAGGCAGCAATCCATGCTTGAGAAAGCCAGGAGTAAGGCTCTGAGGTCTGTATCCCGAGCCCCCTGCAGAAGGTGATAAGGAGAATGTACGGGGATTGGCAGGGGTTCCCCTGGAGATAGGCCTTAGCTTTCCCTCAACTGTTAGAACTACAGACTGCAGGGAGGGAGTATGAGCATTTGCTGTATATCTAGAAGAAGGAAAACAGGCCCCAGATTATGCCTTAGATCTAGGAAGATAGAATTCATTTATTTCCGAGCCCCTTTCCGAGACCAGACCCCCCCTTTAGCTGTCACTGTCCGAAGATTCATTGGTTAATTCGTGGTTGGTAACCTAGCTGTCACCTAAAAACCATTAATCACTTAATGTTTTACTTTTTGAGAGGTGGGGGCTCTCCTGACACTTAAGAGTTTCTGGGAGGTGGGGTAAAAGGGGCGAGCGAACCTGCGTTAATGAAACCCGTAAGGAACTGCGTTTCCCAGGAAATTCCTGACATTTTTAGCTCGTGAATTTCCTAAATCTTGCTTGGTTTTCTCCTCCATTCTGGGTCCTTCCAGAGGGGAAGAAGAGTGGGTTGGGGGCTGAAGGCTCGGCGGGGCCTGGTTCATCTGCAGAGCTGGCCGGCAACCCAGGTTGGGCTCAGTCTTGAGCGGGTGCCCCCCTTCCCCAAATCTCGGAAGGAGGAGGGGGAGGCAGGCAGGCAGTTGTGGTCCCAAAGGGGGCCGGTTGATGGTTTTTGGATGAGTGTGGGGTTTCTTTTTGATTGTTGCTTGGGGGGAAGGGCAGAGACAACGCGAACAGGCACTGCGGGCACCCCGGCCCTGGTGCGGCTGCCGTCCTCTGCTCGGCTCCCCCCCGCCGGTGAGTGCGCCCGCCCGCCCGCCCGCCCGCCCGACTGTGCGGGGCTGCGGTTGGGGGGAGGGGGGAGCGGGATCATCTGAGGCCAGAGCCGCTGCCGTGCGCGGGGAGGGGGAGCGGCGGGAGCGAGGGGAGGGACGGGCTAGGTGTCTGCTGCTCCGCGCCACTGCTGCCGGCGCCCCGTCCTCATCCCAGGCAGCCCCTTCTGCAGCTAAGGGTTACCGCCGCACCACCTCTCCTGTTCCTTGCCCGCCTCTGCGGCCAGGGCTCTGCGGTAGGAGACAGCCCAGCCGGGCAGTGGGTGGGCCTGTCTGGGTTTGGGTTTGGGTCTGGCTGGGGCCCACAGGAAAGGAGGTGGCCGTGACTCGGTGTCCCCTCTCTGCAGCGGGCTCAGTTGCGCTTCACAGGCCCTTCCCCCCACATCCTCTCTTTGGGGTCACTGGAAAGCAGAGCTCAGGCCTGCTCCCTGTGCTTAGTATGGCAGTCCCCTTCTCACCCCTGGTCCCCCAACTCCCTGGGCCGAGGCCGCTCAGGGTCTGGCCAACAGCGACAGCCACAGTGGTGGTGG